ATACTATAGGATCAAACTAAAAGCGCGAAAACTGATATAGTAATAATTTGCACTGCTACGGCAAGCGTGGGAATGGCTTTAGATTGTAGGTGCAAATTAAATTAAAATGGTGAAAAGGTTAGAGAGCAGTTGTATCCTGTCCATCAATCAGCCACGACGTGTTAATTGCAAGGCCTTCATCACTACCACCGTTTGATAGTAACACACTAGTACAGTACTCATCTTGTGATTGTGGTTAAATTAAATGCAGTCAAGAGAATCCACACTAGGGCTAGTTGTTTCGAACACAAACCAAACAGTCTTGTGGGTGCGGTTAAATGCAGTCAATAATTTTTTAGCCTACTGTGCAGCCAATTTCCGTTGCATTGCTGTCTATGTACACGGAAGACAAAATGTGGCTAGATATATATATAGCAACAATACACTTCACAAGGCCTCACCGTTTGGGACATGAAAAATTGACGTGATCTATATAGAAAGAGTTACAACTCTCATCAGAATCGTGAAGGCTTATTTGGATGTCCATTTATTTACCCCTCTAATCTACCTCAACACACGTGGATTGGTGTTAATATATGGACATCCAAGGAGGCATAAGATGGTTTTGCAGTGGTTTTAGTAATGGTTGTCCGAATGGGTTGTTAGAGACGGTTGATGTTTTTTTTTTAATTTTGTTTTGTTGTTATTTTCTCCCCCAGTTTAGCCTAGATGACTTTTCTCATGTATTTTCTCCTGCTTCATTATTAATATGTAAATGGAGACTGTCAGGTGCCTTGCTCGTTTCAGAAGAAGATTAACAACTTTTTGGAATGCGAGTTCTTTTTGTTTTCTGTTTTTTTTTCTCTATAAAAACGAACTTATCTTTGTAAAATCTCTATACGGGTTCTGTGTATTGCCGCGTTCCAGACTCCAGTGAGGCCCTTAAGCATGTGTTTCGATCATGGGTTGGAATAGATTGCACCCAGAATCTAGAGTGTTTGGTTTACGGTTCAACTAGATTGGAACCAACCCACTAGGGAATATACCCGTCATATCCGGGTTGCGTCCGTTCCTCCAAATCTGGTGGATGGGACAAACCAGTTGCGGCTCGGCGTTTGGGCAGCGTGAGCAGTAGACAAGCGGACGCGGGCAGCGGCGGTGGCGCGAGCAATCGGGCCCGAGCAACGGCGGTGCGAGGTAGCGAGCTGTAGCGGCGAGCGCGCGCAGCAGGCAAGCAGCGGCGGCGGTGGCGTGAGTATGAAAGCCCTAGTTTGGTTTTGGATAATTGATGAAACCTAGCACTAACATTTGTCATGAGTTGTGATATGAGCTAGGTTGATGCAATCCAAGTGAGGAGCATGGTGGTACTCAAATGGTGATGTTGATCACATGAAATTATGAGATGGCCACATGTGACGATGATCAAGTGCTCAACTTGACAAAACCCTACGGAGATCAAGACAAAGGTATAAATAGGGGTTTTATTTCGGTGATCAAGACACTATAGAGAATGTATTCACATTTAGAGTAGATTGCCGTACTATTAAGAGGGGCTCTTAACTAGAGAATTCGGTCATCTAGTGCCACTAGGTGTTGGACTTCATGCATTGTATTTAGGCCTAGTGTGCACATTGGAGAGCAAGCGAAAATATTTATCGAAAATATTTTGAGTAATGCTAACTTGGCTCTAACATGTTTTGAGAAAACACTTTGAGAGTTAGCATCGCTTGCAAAGTAGTGTTAGACTGCTTGTGGATCGAATCGAGAATAAAAAACGCAGCTAAAGGGAGGTTTTTGCCTCGGGTGGTCACCGTCATGGGTGAGGCGGTGCACCGCCCAGGCCTGTCCGGTGCCCGCCTGGACATGGCCGAGAGCAGCAGCTTTGAGGTGGTCACCGGACACGGCGGTGTGCGCCGCCATGTGCGTGACGGTGCACCGTCGGAGGCTGTCTGGTGCCACCGCTGCTTTTTAACCGAGGCTGGGACTTGCTAGAGTTAGGGCCGAAAGGGCACCGCCCTGGTCATCGCCATGGGGTGGCGGTGCACCGCCCTAATTATCCAGAGAGTAGGGTTTTCGGGGGCTCGGCCAGGGTGGCACCGCCACCCCCTGTCCGGTGCCCCCGTTGCCCCTGTCCGGTGACCCCGTCGCCCCTGTCCGGTGACCAACTAGCCGTTGGTCGACCGTTCGAATTCGACCGTTGGGGGCACCATCAACCCCTGTCCGGTGACCGCACCACCCTGTCCCGTGCCCTTGCAGAAAGCAGCTCCAAGGGGTAACTGCTCTATTTGCTTGTGTGGCTATAAATAGAGGGTGTGGCCGACCTTGGCCACTCTCGTGGCACCTCATACACTTGTGCACACCCTTTGGAAGTTGAGCAACACACTCCACTCACTTGTTCATTTGATTTCATCATCTTGAGTGAGATTGGAGCCTCTAGTGCATTGCATTGAGTTGATCATCTTGTGGCACTAGTTGATGATTTGGGCTGGTTGTGAGCTTTGTTACTCTTGGTGTTTGCCGACACCTAGACGGACCGGTAATTAGAGGATCGTTGAGCGGAGTTGGTTATTGTCTCCCCCTCGATCGGTTGCTTGTGAGGGGTCTTGAGCCTTTCCCGGCGGAGCGCCAAAGGCAACTCTAGTAAATTGCTCGTGTCATTGAGTTACCTCACTTGTGGATAGGTTCTTACGGCGCCTCTTGTGGTGGGATAGGTGTGTGATACCTTTTAGCCGCCGAACCACCAAGTGTTGGTCAACACAACGGGACTAGCGTGTCGGCAAGCACGTGAACCTCGGAAGAAAAATTGGTTGTCTCTTGCCCGTTGGTATTCTCCCGGTGATTGAATTGGTATTGATCTTGTGATTTGTTCACTCCTCTACGCGACAGTATAATCACCCTACTCACTCATTTACATTCCCGGAAACTAGTTGTAGGAAATTCTTTAGTGTAGCTAGAATTGATAGCTTGCTTTCTAGCTTAAGTTCATCTAATGGAGCTTTTTAGTGTAGCAAGTTTGAGAGCTCTCAGTGAGTAGCAACATAGCCTCATGTGTGCCTAGTGATTATAGCAACTAGAATTGTTGGATAGATGGCTTGCAACTCTTGTAGAGCTAGAGTAAGTTTGTATTTCGCTATTTATCATACTAATCAAATTGCTCTAGTGATCTTGTAGAATTTTAAATAGCCTATTCACCTCCCTCTAGCCATATTAGAACCTTTCAGAGCAGCCGATCCCGGGCAGCGACGACGATCTCAACCCACCTCACATGTATCTCTAAGGGAGAAAAAGAGACTGACGCTATAGAGCCGTATGTCAGGGAGCTCAACCCATCTCACATGTATCTTCAACTAAATAGGAAATCAGGGATGACCTCAACCCCTTAACCAAACGTGAAAGGGTTCGACCCAACCCTAAAAAATAAGACGGAGCCAACCTATCCCTAGTAGTCCTAGAACCAAACAAACGCTAACCGTGTGTTTGGTTGGGAGGACTAGGTGGGATGGTCCCGGGATCAACTCTGTTTGGTTCGGAGGCGAAGTGGAGCCGGGACGTCCTCCACACGAATATTCGCGTGAGACGCGGGGCGACCCCGTCCCCCAAAATTTCACGGACGGGGTCCGTCCCATGGCGGACGACGAGCGAGCGACGGAGGTGCCGGACGCGGACGAGGTCACGGAGAGGAGCCGCGCCGGACGCGGAGAAGAGGAGAGAGAGGAGCCACGCGCTCGAGCGATTCCTGTACCGGTCCCGACGAGCTTCGCCTGCGGCCTTGCCGCGCACTGCCGTGCCCGGCCCCGGCGAGCTCCAGTGGAGGAGGCGTGGGCGGAGTAGGGTCGGGGCACGGGGCGGAGGGGGCGCGGGCCAGAGGAGACACGGGGTGGAGGGCAGAGGAGGCGCGGGGTCGAGGGCTGCGGAGGAGGCGCGGTGAGGTCGCCGACGGAGGGCGAGCTCTGGGGACTGGCCCTGCCGTCGCCGCGTGAGCTCCAACCCCACCGGCGGAGGAGGCTCGGGCCTCGGGGCGCCGCGTGGAGGAAGCCCGGGGCAGCGCGCATCCGGGCTCTGGCGGAGGAGGCACGGGGCTGCCCTGCTGCAAGTCATCGTCGGGCGATCTCCGCCCCGGCCCTGCTGCGAGTCGCTGGCCGACGAGCCGGACCTGCTGCGCGTTCGCGCGGAGGAGTCGCGGGAGGTTGCGTGGAAAGCTACGGAAGGGATAAGGAGAGAAAAAATAAAAAGAAAAAAAAAGAAAAAACTGACAAATAGGCTCCATCTGTCATTCACTTATCCCACTTTTAATATCTTCAAACTAAACAAAAAACAGATCGGTCCCATCTCTACTTAACCAAACAAAAAATAGAATCATCCCGTCCCACAAATCAGAGACAGAACCATCCCACCCCACCTCGCTTACTAAGAAGATGAGTTTGCCACCTCTCTCGAGTCGTCGTCTCCTCGGTGATGCCCAAAGAAGACGGAGTAAAAACATTGCCAATGCAGTATCCAAGATCATTAGCTTATCCAATGTTGAAAGCAAATGACACGTCAGTGCAAGCTCACTCCCTTACCCTTGATCCAGATCTTTTCCCGCCTATAACGAAGAACAAAAGAAAAGATAAAGATATTTATCTCCTGGGCCCACCTGCCATCCCGGGGCAGGAAAAGCTCAAAAATATTCCAGCCCACCACACCAGCAACAGCAAAAGGCTATAAAACACGGGACACCCCACACACACTGAGTCACTGACATACAGGCCTGCAACTTTTACACCTAACCCTTCCAAGTTAAGCGCATTCACGACCCGCCCCCTTCTTCTTCTCTCTCCTGGCCACCTCCATCCATTCCACACCCCCCACACGCACCTTCCCCCCGCTCTATAAGAACACGCGCCCCGAGCACAGGGAGAGAGCGTGCAGAGCGAGACACGTCCGTCGCCTCTCCCCTTCCCCCACCCCGCCGCCGCCGCGCGTCCGTGCGTTCTTTCGTTCCCCGCGTAGGGTTAGGGTTTGGCCTCCGCCGCAGCGCCATGGCGATCCTCTCGGCGGTCGCCACCGAGGTGTTCATCCCCGTCGCCGCCGTCATCGGCATCGCCTTCGCCGTCGTGCAGTGGGTGCTCGTGTCGCGGGTGAAGCTCTCCCCGGCCGCCGCGTCCGCCGGCGGCGGCAAGAACGGCTACGGCGACTACCTCATCGAGGAGGAGGAGGGGCTCAACGACCACAACGTCGTCGTCAAGTGCGCCGAGATCCAGAAGGCTATCTCCGAAGGTGAGCCCGGGGGGGATTCCTCAGATCTGGGGGCTGCCGTTCGCTGGGTCCGCTTAGATCCGCGCATTTCGCGCTGCTCTAGCGCGTTTGCCAACCGAGGATTACGGTTTTAGTACTTGTCGTTTATTATAGGATATATATACACACGTTCCTCGAAAAGTGAGAGATCTTTGCGGGGGGTAAAAGGTCTGGACTTTTGTTATCCGTTCGTTTATTTAGTGGATTTCACGCTGATCTGGCTGGCGGTGAAGTTGCTAATATTAGGATGGGTGCCTGGGTGAGCTCAAATGCCATTCTATTTTTACCCTCTTCGGGGACAGGCTAGACATCACAAAATGATGATATTCTTTGGACCGAAACGAGTTTCAGACTGCATGTTTTTTGCGGAGTGGAAGACAAATATCTATGTGGGGGGTGTTGTACCTCTGTGGGGGCTGCCAATTGCTGTACTACCCCTTCCCCCCTCCAGAGTCCAAACTATGTACTTTTTTATGATAATTTTGGTCACTACTGGCACCTGTCCCAAATGTGGATTTTTTCAAGCGGGGGCTCATGTGATGTGTTTACTGTTGTTTTGCTAGTATTCGGTTCACGGGTCCCAAGTGGGGCTGGCAAATAATTCCTTTTTCTCACCCCTTGGACGTGTGAATCTGGGCTTTGGCTTTGGATGCTTGTAGTGGCTGGTGGATCTAGGCTTGTAGAAGTGTTCTTTTAATGCCTAGCAGCGTTCTTGCCCCTGTGTCGGTGCTGCAGTAAAGATGTAGCTTTCAGTTGACATTGGTCTGATCTGGCCTGGCGCCTGGTAATGGTGGAAGGTGCGGGATGGATCTGTCACAAACTGTATATGTACACACGTAGCAATTAGGCAGAGCACAATTTGGCTGACTTACGCTACCATTAATCAATACATGGGATCCAATGTCTCTAGTGCTAGGTAGATCTGGACCTGGAAGTTCCTGGGTAAGGGATGGGGATTCTCTGCCATCCGTCACTCACGTGTCGTTTGTTCACTGACCTCTGAGCTTCCCATTTAGATCAGCGTGGATGGCCTAGTGCTCATCAGATACATGCCCCATATGTGGGGTTCTGTTTTAAGCGTGTCACCAATCTTTGACCGGATGTGCTATTTTCTATGATTGAGACGGGGACACAGGAAAATAAGCACTTTTGTAGTTATCTGGTTGGGGGGCCATGAGTTTGTTACTTCCCTGTGTAGTTGACAAATGGATGTTGGATGTGTCAGTCTGTATTAGGCACTCGTTATTTATTTGCTGGTACTGGAAAGACAAAAATTGGACCAATAGCTTTAGTGCTCTTTCTGATTGTGGTGTTATATTTATATCCTAGTGACCCTAACTATATGATGAATATCTAAAATGTCTTTTCTTTTATATACAGGAGCAACATCCTTTCTTTTCACTGAGTACCAATATGTTGGTATCTTCATGTCTATCTTCGCTGTTGTGATATTCCTCTTCCTTGGTTCGGTTGAGGGATTCAGCACGAAGAGCCAGCCCTGCACCTATAGCAAGGGCAAGTACTGCAAGCCTGCACTGTTCACTGCACTCTTTAGCACTGTGTCCTTCTTGCTTGGAGCCATCACCTCTCTGGTATCTGGTTTCCTTGGCATGAAGATTGCCACATATGCGAATGCTAGAACTACCCTGGAAGCTAGGAAGGGTGTTGGCAAGGCTTTTATCACTGCTTTCCGCTCTGGCGCTGTTATGGGTTTCCTGCTTGCATCAAGTGGGCTTGTGGTTCTGTACATCACCATTAATGTATTTAAGTTGTATTACGGTGATGACTGGGAGGGTCTTTTTGAGTCCATCACTGGCTATGGCCTTGGTGGGTCATCCATGGCTCTCTTCGGAAGAGTTGGTGGAGGCATCTACACAAAGGCTGCTGATGTTGGCGCCGATCTTGTTGGAAAGGTCGAGAGGAACATTCCTGAGGATGATCCTAGGAACCCAGCTGTAAGTTTTCTTGACATATAGTGTTCATTTTAGGACAATTCTAGGAGCTATACAATCATTAATACATGGCATTTCCTTCCCTGAACTTTTAAATCTTATTTTGCAGGTGATTGCTGATAATGTCGGTGACAATGTTGGTGACATTGCTGGAATGGGATCTGATCTCTTTGGGTCATATGCCGAATCTTCCTGTGCTGCCCTTGTTGTTGCATCTATTTCATCTTTCGGAATCGACCATGATTTCACTGGGATGTGCTACCCACTCCTTGTTAGCTCTGTTGGTATCATCGTCTGCTTGATCACCACCCTGTTTGCTACTGATTTCTTTGAGGTCAAGGCTGTGAAAGAAATTGAGCCTGCACTTAAGAAGCAGCTCATCATCTCCACCGTCCTGATGACTGTTGGTATTGCTGTAATCAGCTGGTTGGCCCTTCCAGCTAAGTTCACCATCTACAACTTCGGTACTCAGAAGGATGTCTCCAACTGGTATGCTTTTTTTTTGTTAACCTTTGCCATTTATTTGTAGAATGGAATGTATCGTCTTGACAACTGCCATATCTTTGCAGGGGCTTGTTCTTCTGTGTTGCAATTGGTCTGTGGGCTGGTCTGATTATTGGTTTTGTCACAGAGTACTACACTAGCAATGCATACAGGTTTGAATCCTACCAGTCTCTATTATGTTTTTCTTGTCATCATTTCTTTGTGATGGTGTTTTAATCCTAACATATTTATTCTGTGGCAGTCCTGTGCAAGATGTCGCGGATTCGTGCAGAACTGGTGCTGCCACTAATGTCATTTTTGGTCTCGCTCTTGGATACAAGTCAGTTATCATCCCGATTTTCGCTATCGCTGTTAGCATCTATGTCAGTTTCTCCATTGCTGCAATGTACGGCATCGCAGTTGCCGCTCTTGGTATGCTGAGCACAATCGCAACTGGTCTTGCTATTGATGCTTATGGTCCCATCAGTGACAATGCTGGTGGTATTGCTGAGATGGCTGGAATGAGCCACAGAATCCGTGAGAGAACTGATGCTCTTGATGCTGCTGGCAACACAACTGCCGCTATTGGAAAGGTAAAAATGCTTTTTATTCATTTGTCTCAACTTGTTCATTTGCCACTGTCATTATTGGCACTGTTGGTAGGTTATGTATTCCATAATGTTTTAACATATGAGAATGAAGTAGTAGTAGTAGAAGATAATATGCAACAAAAGAACCACTGTACTCATCTGGTAACTTGATTCATCTGTATCCCTATGTAGTAGTAGTAGATAATCTGCAACAAAAGAACAATTGTACTCCTCTTGTAACTTAATTCATCTGTATCTCTTTGCAGGGATTTGCCATTGGTTCAGCTGCTCTTGTGTCCCTGGCGCTTTTTGGCGCCTTCGTCAGCAGAGCTGGAGTGACGGTTGTCGATGTCCTCTCCCCCAAGGTTTTCATTGGTTTGATTGTTGGAGCCATGCTTCCCTACTGGTTCTCTGCCATGACCATGAAGAGTGTTGGAAGTGCCGCCCTGAAGATGGTGGAGGAGGTCCGCAGGCAGTTCAACACCATTCCTGGGTTGATGGAGGGAACTGCCAAGCCCGATTATGCAACCTGTGTGAAGATCTCCACAGATGCCTCCATCAAGGAGATGATTCCTCCGGGTGCTCTGGTCATGCTCACTCCCCTCATTGTTGGAACCCTCTTCGGTGTTGAGACTCTTTCTGGCGTTCTTGCTGGTGCCCTGGTGTCTGGAGCGCAGGTGCGCGCTTTGCCTTCTTCTACTCTTTGTGCACTTCAATGTTTTTGCTTGTTCTAGGGTTTATGGATTTCTGCTTTCGACAGATTGCCATCTCTGCTTCCAACACTGGTGGTGCATGGGACAATGCCAAGAAGTACATTGAGGTGAATGTCCTGAAAAAGTCTCATTGAACGCCATGTCTGTTCATCTATGGTCAGTGCTAACTTTCTCCTCAACTTCACCCTCTGCTTGTTTCAGGCTGGTGCCAGCGAGCATGCGAGGACCCTTGGCCCCAAGGGATCTGACTGCCACAAGGCTGCTGTGATCGGTGACACCATTGGTGACCCCCTGAAGGACACCTCGGGCCCGTCCCTCAACATCCTCATCAAGCTCATGGCCGTGGAGTCCCTCGTGTTTGCCCCCTTCTTCGCCACCCAAGGTGGCATTCTGTTCAAGTACCTGTAAGGGCCACACCAAGCACAGCAGAAGTATACGATCGACCGACCATGGACATCTCGAATAACTCCTGCCAAATCTCCAGTTCTTGTGTATTGTGCGCTAGCTGCCTAGCTGCACTGCTGTTTTTTTGGTCTCATTGTTTCAGGATTGCTGCTGCTGTTCAAATTCTCTTTGGCCTCCTGGAGGCGTTACTGTTAGCCTTACTCTTACTCCCCGTAGCTCCACGTAGAAGAGAACAAATGTCCTGCGTCTGGCAATTTTTCCCAGTCCCTTCTTGATGGCGATGATGTTGAAATCTTTGAACAATGATACATGATTGTTGCATTGTACTGGTGGTAACTCCGTATTGCCTTGTTGATGCCCATTCCAATCGTTCAATGTTATGCTATGCGTTATAGCGGAATAGGAATGCTGTTTGTACTGTCATGGCTGCTGCCGACAAGTTCATAAAGGAACCTAAGGCCCTTTGGATTGGAGGAATTTCAAAGGTGTCTAATTCCTATGTTATGCTTGCACTACATAGTGTTTGTAATGGAGGAATTAAGATTTCGTTTCTTATGGAAAGACTTGCTTTTCATGAAATGGAGGAAATAACATCTACTCCAAACTCTTGGAAATTTTTCCTACATGTGAATGGAGGGATGAGAAATCCTTGTTCAATAGAATGGAAGGATGAGTAAGTGTTGTTCAATAGAATGGAGAAACATGTCTTGTATCCCCGTGTTCCAAACACCAATTCCTATAAAATTTCTATGTTTTTCAATCCTCTATTCCAACTCATTTCCTATTCCTGTGTTTTATTCATTTTCTCAGGCCCTGAACTTTGAAGTCAAGTCAAATTCTCCTTTTTCTCTATGCATCATAATATTCTGGAATTTCTTTGGTTCCAAGCAAAGTTCTTTTTAGATGATTTCCATTTTTGTTTTTGAAAAGTTGATACTTTCCTTGAACTCAGCAAATTTCGCCAATTGCTCTTATTTCACTAGTGTTTCCAACTATGAACCGAAAAGATAATGGGAACGAGTTTTTCCCCTTCCCGTCGTTGATCATCAATTTCTTCAACCTGTTACAATTCTAAGAATAAAAAGAAAACAAACTCACCCTTGAATCGCATCCCTTTTCTTTCGACAGATGCCTTGTACCTCACTTCACTTCATCTTACCAGATGGAAAGCTTAGCTGTCCATCATCACCAATCACGCCAAACCCATTATGAATCTACTACCCATCTAACAACTGCCCTAACTACATGCCGGGGCATTGAAATGTGAAATGCGAGCGAACACGATGGAGTACGGCGCCACAGCGATGGGCTGTGCCGCATCCACACTGACAGCCTCCAGTGTCGGGATGTTCCCTGCCGCGTCGGTGGCCAACGCCTTGCCGTTCAGCAGCATGACCTGGCTCCTCAGGTTGCCGTCCTTGGGGGTGAGATGGTACTCGTCTCTCACGGCACCGGCCGCCGCGTCATCGACGACGGTGAAACTGGGGGCGTGGACGTGCCGGAACTTTCTGCCGCCGACGTGCTTCCTTGCACCATGCTTGTGCGCCGCGACGGCCCCTTGGGTTGTCACTGAGACTTGGGTCGTCGTGTTGCCGCTGAGGTTGATCAGCAGTAGAGTGATTCCTGGCTGGACGAAGAGGACGCACACATGGTAAAGATTGAGCGTGAATTCTTTAGGAGATGAAGGTTTTTTTTTTGGCCGCCGATGAGAAATTGCTGATGAAATAGGTACTGAATTGCTTACTGAATCTCTTGCGCAGTGCGCATATGCGCGGATCTTGTTCGTGCCGCTGAATGTTGTTGCTAGAACTTTGGTTCCCATGAGGCGATGCCACAGTAAAGCACTGCACAGAAAGTTGAGAGGAATTCTGTCATTGAAGTGACAAATCGGCAACTTTGTTTTTCTTTTTTGTTCTGCAAGATCAACCTTTTTAGCAATTGGGGGGTAGTTCTATGCATTTAGGACAAAGGATTATATCTTGTTCGATGCATCCAATCTTCTTGTACTCCAGCACAAGTTATTTTCGTCGGTACAAGGCTAAGTTTTTCGTCAAGTGTTTATATCTACTATACTACTTTAGCCATTAAGAACATTATGTATTTTTACCTGTAATAGTCAGGGTTTGGTTGGAACGTTGTGGTATTTAGCAGGCCGTAGTTGCCACCAATCAAACTCTGTCTGCAATAGCTCTTTGTGTCATACTTTGCTGACATCCCAAGCTGATCTAAAAACCTTGAAAAAAAAAATCACCAAAACGAGCTCAAAAACATATCCAAGAACAGCTAAACAGAATTCGACACCGGAGAACTTGTTAGCTTACCAGAAGCTGAACACAAATGCATCAGTGACAAGGTGCCGTCCGCTGTTGTAAGCGCCTCCAGCTTCCCCAACCCATGCGACGGTCGATGTTCCTGAGGATTTCAGCATCCCCTGAAGATTGCTGAATGTGCCTATCATTCCGTCGAGGGTTGATGGATTGAGAATCTTGTCAATCAGATGCGTGTCCTTTCCTGCGATGTTCAGTTCAGCACATCATTTTTCAGTCTCTGTATGCATCAACCAAATTATCCGCGAGTAAATAGCTGTGAGTATACCTGGTCCTAAATTGTAAATGTGATGGGTGATCACATTCAGTAGATTTGGCTTGGTTTTGACAATAAGTTGGCTAAACCAGGCTTGGTCAAAGAATCCTCCAGGAGCAAGCACCAATGGTCTTGATGGATTGCTTCGGTATATGTCGTCGACTAATTTTTTTAGGGTGATCACATCCGCAGCATATTGGTCCACGCCAACCCGAGTTCCGACTCCAGTACCACTGAGTTCATTTCCTGCATTTTTGATTGAAATTGTAGCTAGTGGCTCTAATTTTTTTTGGAGAATTATTTTCAAAATTGGGGGGACCCAAAATGTTATTTATTATTAGGTATAAAAGCTGTGGATAATTCAGAAATTGGTATTAGGCAGCCTAACCACACATGCTACTGTCCTAAAGATTGGACATGTCACATGTCAACATCAATAATTTCAGAAAACTAGAGAACACTGAAAAGATGTTTGAACAGAAACTCTAGCCCTTCTCTGAACTGAATAGAGCCTTTCAGAAACAAGTTATGCATTAAAAATTCTCACTTTGAGACCAGACACATGAAAAGAGACTTTCAGAAAAACTCTAGCTCTTCTGTGAAAGTAGATAGACATATGAAAAGAGACTTTCAGAAACAAGGTATACATCATTAAAAATTCTCACTTTCAGACCAGACAGTAGGGGCATTTCAAAACAACTAGCATGATAAAATGCACAATAAAACAACATACCAAGCTCCCATCCATGAATTCGGTAGCCCTTGTTTGCGGTGTACCGAATCAGTGACGCCGCATTGGTGTAATCCCATGGCCCTCCCACGGATCCATCCGGCAACGGAACGCGGCCATTTAGCGCGTTGAGCCCGAACACAATCTTGGCACTGCAACACCCACCGGCCGATGAATTTCTCATAGCCCAAAGAGGAGCGTAGAACTGAAAATTCAGTGGCTGGATTCGCTGAAAACTCACCCAGATTTCTGGAAGAAGGCGTTGAGCTCGTCCCACCTGCGCAGGGGCAGGCAGCCCTGCGTGAAGCCATGCATCTCCGACACGTTCTTGGCGAACGGCGCGCACGGCCGCCCGCCGAGGTCGGCCGTGCCGTACACCACCTTGTCCTGCAGCGACCCTCCCAGGCGGAGCACCAGCGGCGGCGAGAAGGCTGAAACAAAATTCACCACCGCATTGGCAACAAAGAGCTACTGGGATGGGATTGGGAGAACCCCTCGATACAGCGGGGCGGCCACGGCCGGTCGTCGGTCGTCTACCTCTGACGACATTGAGCAGGACCTTGTTGGAGAGATCCTGCGGGAGAGGAGAAGACAGACAGAAACTGCGCGTCAGCTGGCTGAGCTCGCGAGGCGTGTCAGGGTCTTAATTACGCGGCCGTGTCGTCAATTGTCACTCACCAGGTTGAGCAGGCCGGCGCGGCCCCAGGCGCAGGTGCCGTAGTCGCACTTGTCCGGCGGCCACCAGTCCAATGTCGCGCACACGAAGTCCTCCCCGGTCGCCGCGACGGCGCGCCGCGCATGGACCGTGGCCACCGCCGGCTGCCCGGCCGCCGCCGCCGCGCCGCCAGGCCGCAGCAACGCGGCCAGGAACCAGAGACCGCCGAGAAGCCGACCCAGCTGCTGCGTCCCCGCGGCGGCCATGCCAACTCGCGGACCGACCCCGGCGGGCCAAATAGGAGTGGAGAGCACGCGGGAGGAGGACGGACGCTGCTGCTACCCACCCGCACCTCGGCTAAATAGTAAATGCTAGACGCGGCATGGAGGCAAGCGGCAGAGGCCAGAGCCAGATTGTGGAGCGGGGATCGGAGCCTGACAGCGCGTCGCGGGGCGCGGGACACCTCCACCGTGCGATGCGAGACTTCGACCACTGCTATTCCGAGCTCGCGGCGGGATCCTGTCCATGCACGGTGCGTGACGCGGTGAGCTCGCGGGCCGGCGAAGTCAGTTTTTTTCCGTTAGCGGTTGGCGCGCGGGCGGGCGGTGAGCTCACATACAGTGATACGGCTCAGGTTTTGACTGGGGATCGGCGCGACTGGGTGAGGCCGATGGGTTTTTCGGGTGAGCCACGGCCACCGTGGTGTTGAGCACTGTAGCCAGCAGCAGCGGTGAGGACTGAGGAGTGAGGACAAGGGGGCAGGAGTAAATAAAAAGGCGCTACTCCTGGGGATCCATCCGCCGTGTTGTCTTGTTGCTGCAGAGGCGCAGGAGGCAGGCTGCATCGCACGGCCCGACACGGCATGGCACGGTCCCGTGCTTGCTTTCTTTGTTTCCTAGTCGTCCGGCCGGCGGCGGCCTTGCGTTGCTTTGCTGGAGCAGCGGTAGTCTTTTGGTCTAGGCCTGTGCCGGTGAAAATCGACAACGGGAGGAGTCTGCTGCTTTGTTCCCATTCTTCTTGAGGAGAGTGGTGCGTGAATCGCAATGTTCCAAACAGAGCAATCGGCATAGGAAATACTACAAGAGAGAGAAAAAACAGTGCAATTAGGATTGACACATGCTTGCACAGAGAAAAGAAAAGGGTTGAACACATGTTCGCAATGCCCGTCACTCCGTCTTCTTCTTTTTTTTAAAAAATACTTGGCAGGAGCTCTGCTTATCAATTAAAGAAATTAGAGGTTTATGTACAGACAGATCGAATGCCTAAAACACACTAAAGGGCACAACCTACGTATAGAAAAAGAACGATCTCCACTCCCCTTAGGGAAGAAACAGAGGGGGGCTAAGTTATGTTGTTAAAGACCCGTAAGTGAAAATCGATGTCTTCTTTGGTTTTGGAGGTCACCTGTCTTTGCGTCCATGGCAGTGTTTTAAAAAATCTTTCTATTTCTTTCTTGCCAAATGTTTCACATCGAAATCACCACCCCGTTGAAGTGTCGTCATCGCTGCCTTGCAATTGTGGCAGCTGCTTCCTCCCACCAAGCACAAAATTTCTGTCGGCTGGACATGTGGCTGGATTAGTTGCACATCAAAATGCCCTAAGGTCAACACAAGGTTCCAAATCTCTTTGGCTAGAGGGCGGAATGGTGGTCGAAGTCTCGCATTGCACGGTGGAGGTGTCCCGCGCCCCGCGTCGAGCTCGAATCCCTGCTCTACTGTTGCTGCCCTCTACTGCTTGCCTCCATGCCTTGGCCTCTAGCATTTAGGTAGCATTTGGTTACCGTGGGATTCGAGGAATCCGGATAAAAAAATCCTAGAATCTCATCCAAATACGATACGATTTTAGTGAATTTTAACACACATGCATGTAATCCAATAAAACACATCATTTTTTTTATCCAGATTCTTAAAATCCTCTCGGATTCAAACAAGACCTTACTATGTGGCCGAGGTGTGGGTGGGCGGCAGGGCAGCAGCGTCCTCCTCTCGCATGCTCCTCTCCTGGCCCCCTGGGACTACTACTGGAGATAAAAAAAAACACTGAAAGATCTGGGAAGGCCAATGTGCAGTAGCAGTGCACCATTCCACTAGTCCTCCGAAAAACTCCATTCATCGTGCAATTGCCCATCCAAAGGAAGGGAAGGGTTGTCAAAAGAAAAAAAAAAAGGAAGGGAAGAGACCCTACACACAAGGATGCCCTGTCACAGCTTCGCTTTCCTTGTGGGCGCGCGAAACGACTCATAATGGCCAATGCCCGACAGTGCCTTGGCTGGCTTTATTAGCAATAGCATGGGCTGAAAAGATAGAGTGAAAAGTATTATTCGCTAACTCGTTGTGAGAGAAAAACACCGTACCATGTGATAAGCTCAAACGAGCAATACTGTTCTAGATGCATCTTGGATTCTTGGCTCTGATATTTTTTTTGACGGATGCCAATAATCCCTCTTGAGTCTTTTTTTTCAATAATCAAGATCTACACAGAGCATGATTTTCGTTCGCACGGTTGCGAATTGTAGGGCCTCTTGAGTCTTTTTTTTTTCCTCTCATCTAGGTATAACTATAGTATCTTCATATACACAAATAGATCATACAACTACACCTAGATTATAAGGATCGCGTTCTTGAGGAGATCACCGAAACCATCCAAAACTCCGTAGGCGACAGACGCGCCGCTATCCCTTTGTAGTTTCACGCGAGAGAGGCTACACCTGTTAAAAATGGGGAAAAACCCCGGTGGAGATCGTGAGTCGAGCAGAGCTCGAACCCGCGACCTGCCGCTACACCACCTGCAGCGTTGCCACTCGAGCTACGGCTCGTTCCCCAGGCCTCTTGAGTCTTGATAGATAGGATATAAGCTTGCTTCCTATTGCTCCTCAGAAAATGGTCCATGTCAGATTGAATATATGCCATGTGGTACTAGTTTCGTTATGGTTAGGTCCCATCCCAGTCCAACAGTTTTATTTTTTTAATTAGACAGTACAACTCAAACACTCGCACACTTATTCCTACAAACGCATGTACACAAACTCTACTTATATAAAGATCTTTTTCGAAGATTGCAGCGATAAATCCTCGAGATTGACGAAGCCACGGTATATGTTGGTTTCTGACTTGTGAGCATTTTCGTGTCGTGATAGTTAAATTTGTGAGAGCGATCGTAATCGAAAACCTCATGCTGGAACAGGCCACCAGATCGTGCAGGGTGTGCGTCCTCTTGGGTGTCCTAGTTTGCATCGACCCGTGGCAACGGGATCTGCAGTTACGGGAACGTAGCTTCCAAGAGGAAAGCACCAGTGGAGTGTAAAGCGTACGTTCTGCCGCTTTGTTCTAGTTCACAGCTTTGCTATAGATGGATACTTGGACGGACACATTTGGTTCTATTGTACTTGTGTCAAGTTTTCTGATTAACCCCATAAACTATTCAGGATAAACTACTTCACCTTCAAACTATAATTTGGATTTTCTACTCCTAAACTTTTCAAAACCAGTCAAATAACCCCGTGAGCGGTTTTAGATGGTGTTTTTGCTACAGCGATGATGGTTTTGTTTTTATTTATTTATTTCCGTTGAATCTTTAAAAATCATAGTAAATCACAGAAAAATTATAAAATAGAAAATTCAAATTTGTTAGACTCTACATGAGTAGATCTATACAGTGAACATATAATATGGTATGCTTTAGTATAATATTTTTGTTGCAACTTTAAATCTATGCTTTTCTGTAATTAATTGAAATAATTCATAGCTGCAGCTTCTATGGTCTAATTGTGGTGAAATTTTTATGGTGGACTAATTATTGTATGCTTGAAATATAGTAAAAATTTCATACTCACTGGATCATGTATAACTTAGTTATAGATTTATTTAAGTTTATGCTTGTTAAATCTATGCTTTATCTATAATTAAGTTATACATGATCCAATGAGTATGAAATTTTTACTGTAGTTCAATCATACAATAATTAACCCATCATAAAAATTTCACCATAATTGGACCATAGAAGCTATAGCTAGGAATTATTCCAATTAATTACACAAAAACATAGATCTAAAGCTACAACAGAAACTTTGTAGTAAAACATATCATATTATATGTTCACCGTGTAGATCTACTCATGTGAAGTCCAAAAAAAATTAGATTTTTCATTTTATGATTTTTCTATGATTTACTATGATTTTTCTGTGATTCAGAGGCAATAAATAAAAAAGAAAAAAATAAAACCACCGACATTGTAGCAAAACCACCATCCAAAAACTCTTGGGGAGTGTTATTTGACCGATTTTGGAAAGTTCAAAGGTAGAAAATACGGTTTTATAGTTTAGAAGGTGAAGTAATCCACTCTAGATAGTTGAGGGTGTTACATAGACTTTTTCTTTTCTAATACACTTTATCCTTTCCGTCCTCCTTGTTCTTTCATTTGTTTATATGCGAACGGCCTGGCTGCTCAGTACCTCCTCCAGATGGTTAGAGTTCGAGTCCTGAGAGGCTCACTTTTATTTATGGCTTTGGCCGCAGCGACTAGTGAAAAAAAACTTTCTTGTCTGCCCCATGTTTAAAGCATAGGTCTGTGGTCGGCTCATTTCACGGAGCTACGGTGCCGATGTGTATGGGTGGGGCAGAGGTTCCAGGGTTTTCTCGACCTGCACGAGAAAATCTTCTTCTTAAGTCAAAATACCGGGGCTATCTAGCCACCGCGGATTAAGTTTTATTTATTTATTTATATTATTTCTTTTTTTTCATACGAGTCACTCACAACAGGGCCGATGACAGGAAAAAGAGGAGACGTTAACATACTAGCATACAAAATAAGGAGATGCAGTTGTGTTTCTCATTTTTCCAATTCTAGTCTGGTTTTGTTCAATCGATTCATCTTTTGATTCTTGAACAGGATGGATCCAGCGGTGCCAACCCCCCCCCCCCAGCTTGTCCTTTTTTTTGTGTGCCATGGATGCATCTTGAGAAGAGGTTGGAGCAGTCTAGAGGTGAAAGAAGTCCTCCCCTGACATTTTCATGGATCCGTCCCTGTTCCAGAATAAATATATAGCAGCATATATAGCTTTGATTTGTAAACTTCTGTTTTCTCACATCATATACCAGAGTTTGAAGAAATACGCCAGCAAGAATGTAGAGGGCGTAACAGAGGTTTGCAATATATAAGAAAATTCTCCCTACTGCGGTCGTTATCGGTGACAACGGCAGAACAAGGGAAAGTTGAGGAACAGCAACTAACCCCTTGCTCTGGAGTCTGGACAAACCGGGCGATCACCTCAAGAGGATCCGCGCATCCATCGTGGTCCTTCCACTTCTGCGCATCCTGGAGCTCGTCGTGGGCTCGCGCGGCTCCCGCCAACCGGGACTCGCTTGGTTGGGCCGGCCGAGCGCGAAACCAGCCGCTGCGCTATGTTTTGGTCCGGCCCAAATCCTAAATCCGGCGAGCGACGCGGCGCGAGGCTGGGCCTAGACCCTGGAGGCCTGAGGCGCTTTCGCTTTCGTTCGGTTCCGCCGACGGTCCATATCCTGAGCTGCACTGCACATGGTGCGGACGGAGTTGCGGATGAACCAGTCAGTCTGGACGTTCGGTTAACCGAAGCTAATTCGGTTACTCGACGAGAAGAGATTGATCGGTTACTTTAAAAATATCGAACCGAGGAATTTTGATTTTGGGTAACACGGTTCGGTTTCGATTCTAACGAATGGAACCGAATTTTTTAGTTACCAAGAAACAACCCATTCAATTATAAATTTCGACAGCATTTTGTCTTGATTTTCATGTAGTAAAAGAGACAATTTAAACAGCAATGCAGCATAAAACAACAGTACAACACATATATGTTATTGTTCTCTCAAATATTCAAGCATAGAGCAATATTCAAGCCCGCATTCTAGGGGCATTTACATAGTTTGGTCATTTCAGGTCAATTCGGTTAACCGAGTGCTGGAACCGAATTAACCGTAATAATTTTGGTTCCTGGGAATCTGGAACCGAACCTAGGACCGAATATTTCGGTTTCGGTTACTTCAGTTTCGGTTCCGATTAGTTCGGTTCGGTTCTCGGTTCTCGGTTTTTATGCCCAGATGAACCAGTACCGGACTACTGCCTGCCGGTGTCGCGCACAAGCGGGCGTGCCCCCGGCGTACTCGTCTGCGAACGAATCCGCCACCTGATCCCATGAAACGGGCGCACGCACCCCCCCTCCGTGGGTGGGCGGCCCACCGATCCGTGCACGGTGTACCGGCACCAGTCTGCCACCATCCAGCCAACAGACGCCAACAACCTCTCTCGGCTCTCGCCCGTTTTTATAATCGGGTTCACGTGACGCTACCCGCCCATCGGCCAGTGCCACTACACACCAGAGCGTGCGGGCGGGCTGCCACCGCGCGCGGGAGCCTCACTTGCTGCTGCCGTCGCCACTCGCCGCTCCGCTCCGCCGAGCGCGAACGAGCGAATGGACTGGTACGCGTGGCTCTGCAGGGCGGGGCTGCACCCGGACGTGGCGTTCGAGTACGCGCTGCTGTTCGCGCGCAACGAGCTCGTCGCCGCCGACGTGCGCCACCTGGACCACGAATTACTCCTCAGCATGGGCGTCGCCGTCGCCAAGCACCGCCTCGAGATCCTCAAGCTCGCCAGGAAGGATCCCTCCTCCTCCTCCTCCTCCCACGGCAGGGCCACCGCCGTCGCCGCCGCGGCCGTCATCACCGTCGTCCTGCCGTGGCGCGCCACCAGGCTGCTCGCCGCGGCCTTGCACCGGTCCGCGCGCTCGGCGCTCGGCCGCCTCCGCGCCTCGGTGTCGTCCCGCGGCCGGGACCAGGTCCGGGACCGGGACCGGGACCGCGGCAGGGCCGCGGCCGTCCTCGCCACGCCGCGCCTGCTGCCCCTGCTGCAGCACCGCGGCGGGAGGGTCGCGCACAGCAGCTGGACCAAGATCGCGTCGCCCGTGGCGGTCCGTGGCGGCGGGAAGCTCCCGCTGCCGATGCTGACGCATGTCGTCGGCAAGCCCGTCCTGCTCACCAACAGCGGCGCCGATAAGTGGAGGGGCAACGGCGGCGCGGCGGTCAGGATGCTGCCGCGCCCGCTGGGTCCATAGCCGCCTGCCTCATGAGCACGGACGTCTGCAGCTGCGACGTGGAGGTGGTGGTGGACGTCGGCGGCGAGGAGATGCGGTGGGAGTCCATGTTCCAGGATCTGAAGCCCACTTAGCCCGGACGCGCTCGCGTGCCAAGTGCGCCCTGCACCTGTGACCTGCTGCTGCCGGCCGGTGCGTACCTGCCGGCTGGCCGCCACATCCAACCGTGTACGTACAGCGAGCGAAGACAACGTGCATGATGGGCAGTGGTCAGTGGTCACTTCTAGTACTCACTAGCTAAGCTACCTGCTGCCTGTTACTGTTACTGCAACTGTGTAAATGAGTGTGAAAAATAATGCCATGTGTCATTCTCTAAAATTTTGAGCTCGAAATCGATCCATGTTCACGCACACACGGACGTTGTAGGATCTCGCTCCTTGTGCGATGGGATCATGAGTCCATGACGATCAAAGTTACCTGCATCATTTTCGTTCCTGCTGTGAAATATTTTTAAGGACTACCACTCGTCTGTCGTTAGTGTAGAGCCCTGACAACGAGATGGAATAGATAGAGGGCCATGTTCCCAAACCGAGACATATCAAAGGGTGGCGCCAAAACGAGCCGAGGCATCCAGATCTGCACTGAGTCGCCGCTCCACTCAAGGATTCAAACTGGGGACACGGCGTTTGGATGCACGGATGTAGATCTGTCGCATTCAGCAAAGTTTAGCTGGCCAACCCTGGTCAGATCTCAACCACTACCTGAGTACCTGTTCAAAAATTTCAGCGTTCAACTGCTGATGCTGCCCTGGCCTGCCCAACAGGCCTTGAAGAGGACCTGTTAAACTGCTGACCACTGCCCCAGTTCAAGGCCACGAGTAAACCAAATTTTAAAGACAGCATGGTTGAGCCCTAGATCTAGTTCTTTCACATTTTTGGAGAAAAAAGATGTTAATTCTTCTCAATATCATGAAATCTGCCAAAATGTCCCATATACAAGCACCATTGTTCTACATAGGTAGGGATTTCAGTTATACACCCCTGAAATTTAGGCCTCAGCGCATTAACCTGGCGCAACAGCACAAGCATCTGGTACAAGTACAAGTAGCTGCACGAGACCATCACCCCCTCTTCATATTAGACCAAAAAGGACCTAAAATTACAGCAAAGAGCACAGTGCGTGCTCATGAATTACAATAGATCATTTCTGAAGCTATTCAGACCTCATACTGGGTTTATTGTAGATGCAGAAAACACTACATCTCGTATCACCGTTGTTCAATGTGCAGAGTTCCTGGGCTGGCTGAAGGAGCCCCCCGCATACAGCATCTGATACACTGGCCGGACCCTCACTGTCAGAACCGTGCTCAACAATGTGCCCAAGCAAGCCGTGCCGGAGAGGACACAAAATGTGAGTCTGAAGCAATCAGGGCCATGACATGCAATATCCGACCCTGATGTTGTGGCATGCTGCTTTTCCACTTCGAGATCGTAGACATATCCCGCAAGGGTGTTAAACAGGTATGCTCCTACTGGATTCGCCAATATGATGAAGTTGAATATCTTTCCAAAGTGCTTTAGTCCGAAGAGCTCTGATGAGGTTGAGATTATCACGGAGAGCAGGACACCATAACATATGCCAAGTAAGGCGACAGAGACGTAAAGTGTGGCAAGCTGACCCAATGCAAAGAGCAGGTATGTAACTATCATCACGACTTGGGTGCATATGATCAGAACACTTCGTGGAAGTGTCCTTGACCTGCAAAAGAAGATTGTAAGTTAACCCTAGGATGCAATGGCAACAATTCTGAATTTCAACAAACTCATGTCTATCACTCACAAACAAGAAAGCTGTTCCCTACATGTTTCTACACATGGGATTCAGGATTTTCCTTCCTGTTTGTCTTCAGACAATGGACAAATCGCTAGTTTGTCAGGCTTTCATGTTCTCTATTCACAATTTTTACCCAAGCTATTGACTAACGTGAGAGGAGATGCATTAAAAGATAAACCAACCATAGGGCTGCTATGGAACTTTTCCTCAGGACAGAAATTCAAAACTTGAGACTGCAATGCAGTTTTCTAATAATTCAAAGAGGGGTTAACATGGTTCATAAATTTGAGCAGTTCGGAGCTATAAAGACACATTGGTTCGCTACCAGATATCTCTCAGTAGTCAGTGCCCACTAGGCCAAAAACAATGTGAAATTGGTAGAGCTATTAAAGCTAAGAATGGCCCATCATATGGAAACAATTATTTCAAAGAGTAAATAGTTGAGAAAATATAAGATATTCTGTTACCTGACAAGATACTCAGAAACAGCACCACCTCCCAGCCGGCCAAAAAAATTGCAGAAACTGAAGACAGAGAGTGAGATGGTTGTGTCGACAGCACCTGCAGCAATTCCTATTTGTGCTAGATTATTAACAACAGTGATTCCAGATCCAATCCCAACAAAGCATATTGCAAAGAGAAGCCAGAAATCAGCCTTCAGTATTGCTTCACGAAACCTGAAATCTTCTCCCCTTCTTGGTCTTCTTCTCTTCGGCTTTATAGCACCTTCACCCTCAGCTAAGAGAATATCAATGTCAAAGGAATCATCTTCTTCAAGATTACCAAGGTTTGATTCGGAGGAAGAAGGCAAAAGTGGTTCTGTGTGATCATTATCAGTTGTTGGAGAGTGTGAATCTGATGGGCGTTTTTTCTTCGGGAATAAAGTCATCTTCAATGGTATTGCCAGGGGAGCAAAAATGAGAAGAACCATAATGACAAGCAGAGAATAGTTCATAATGTCATTGAGAGTCACGACATGATCCAATATCGTAGCCCCAACCAGATAAACCCCAAGAAGAATGCTCGCCATTTGTGCAAACAAAAAATGGACTTGCTCTGCATTCGTCTCCACCAGAGAGGGTTCACAAGGCTGAACAAAGTACATTGCCAGAAGGCACACAGCAGGAATTCCGAGAGTGAGAAAGAGCAAAAGGTTGATGGGAGAATCATGGAGCACTCCAGTGTATATTGCGGTGTAAACAGCGGCACTTAAACCCGAGTACCCTTTCAGAATGCCAGCAACAGCACCTCTGCTGAGTGGGAAGTTCCTCATGTTGGTCACTAGAACGGCAGTCGCCAACCATGCACCACCATTGGTAGCAAGACATAACGCAAACCATATCTGCAAGTAGGGTCATTAGTCAATTTACACTAGATCCAATAAAGTAAATCCCAGACTGGAAATACACTGCTTAGAGTAGGTGAAAAAGTTTGTCTCAAGTTAAAGCTAGCAAAAAGCTAACCTCAATTAAAGCCTTAAAGGGGAAACATGAGTGGTGCTAATTCTAGAACACCCGATCATCCTCCGGTGAGATCTGGCATGTAAAAGTCCTAAATGCGTGCATATTGCAGGTAAACTAAGTGAAATGCTGCATTTTTGTTGACCCAAGTGTAATCAAAACTTGTTTGCTAGCGTTTGACAGGCAGCTTGTCCCCATTTGTTTATGGAATCTCAGAAAGAGACATCTATTTTCCCTCAAGCTTACACCATAAGATGTATGGCACGTAGCCTGCCCCCTTTTATTTATGGAATCTCAGAAAGAGACATCTATTTTCCCTCAAGCTTACACCATAAGATGTTTAACCATTTTTAGGGTAATAATGGAGAATAAATCCCAACATCAGCATAATGTTTAGGCCTGGTTTAGTTCCCAAAAATTTTCACCCCAAACTATCACATCGAATCTTACGGCATGGAGTATTAAATATAGACGGAAAAAAAACTTAATTACACAGTTTAGTTGAAAATCGCGAGACGAATGTTTTAAAACTAATTAGTCCATGATTAGCCATAAGTGCTACAATAACTAACCTGCGCTAATGATGGATTAATTAGTCTTAATAAATTCGTCTCCCCGTTTCCAGACGAGCTATATAATTAGTTTTTTTATTAGTATCAAAAACCCCCTGCCAACACCAAAAACATCCGATATCACATCCAAAAATTTTTATTTCACGAACTAAAGACAGACTTACTTGCACAGCGCAAAAGTGCAAAAAAAAAAAAAAAAACCACTTGCCACAAAACAATGCCTTCCACGAAAAACTTAGAGTAACTCAACTTCCGTTTCACGAACGCATAAACTGGATCTTAAAAATCGATCAGCAATGTCTTTCGCGAAGAAAAAAAAATCCATCAGAGTAAATTGATGAGAAGTAGCAAAACGAAGAGCGACAGTGTCGGTCGGCAGCTCACCAGCCAGTAGGGCAGCGCGGGCGCGACACCGGAGACGAGGAGCCAGGCGGTGCCGTACCCGAGCAGGCACGCGCCGGCGCCGATGAGGAGGAGCAGCGCCGGGTGGAGGCGGTTGCAGAGCACCCCCGGGAGCAGGCCGACGTTCTCGCCGACGTCGCAGGCGACCCCGAGCAGCGCGAGGCGGCTCTGGTCGGCGCCGAGGGCGACCTTGAGCGCGTGCGAGTAGAGCGCGAACGTAGAGCTGGCGCCGCCCGCGACCTGCACCCACGCCGCCGCCCCTAGCCCCAGCCACGGCGGCCGGCTCTCCCCGCCCTCACTGACGCCGGCCCCCGCATCGATCTCGCTCGCCGAGGGGAGCACCGGAGCAGCGTGCGCGGTGTACAGTGGAGGCCTGGAGAAGGGGAGGGGAACGGGGAACTGCGGTCTCGGGATCGGGCGATTTGCAAACATGAGACTCGAAACCTATGTCGTTTACACGTTCGACACCGGACCCATACCTCTTGTCACAGATAGACTGACTTCATCCGCCGAGTGTCACAGTAATCAAGAGTCAATCTCGAGTGTCATTTTTTTTTCAATTTTTTCTTCGGGATCGCGGGTCGGTGAGGGGGGGGTTATGGGGTTTGCGCAGTACGGCCGCCCCCGGGCGCCGCGCCGGACGGTGGCCGGTGGGCTTGGAACTTTGGGAGCTGTGGGCTTCGCTTGGAGCTGGGGTTTTCCGGTTTGGGTTGGTGGGGACGGTGCCGCGTGGGCGGAGGAGGACCGGAGCCCGGAGGTGGGAAGAAAAGCGGGGAAAGTGGATGTAAACAGACAGGGACGCGGATCGCAAACCACGATTTCGATGGCGACGGGTCGGCGGCACCGGCCGAGGCTTGCTTGCGAATTGATCGCGGCGGATTCGCTGGGCCGCGCCGGCGCAGTGAATGGACCAAGGATTAGCAGGCGTGTGCGACCTGCCCGTGGGCTCGCAAGTTTCCATTCGACCTCAAATCTACTATTATAAGGGTCCGATTTGTCTTTCGCATTACAAAAATGAATTTTTAGACTCCTTGATTTTTCAAACTGTTTGATTTTTCTTCCTGAAAGATTTTGAAGACGGTTTTGGTTGATATGACTCCACGACAACCACAACAGAACTAAGTTGGCTTCGCGGTAGTTCCGTGAGTAAATTAGACAATACAAAATTGTTGAAATGATTTTTCCCAAAAAAACTATCCAAATATTTTTTAGAAAAATATGCATTTAAGTAATACTAAAATATGTTAATCTTAGCATACTATTCGTAGAAAGTTTTTGGGTAAGTTCTAAAAAATATTTTTTGTAGTGTTTTTGATAAAGTATAATTGATCACTTGAGTTATCATGAAAGTTCGATTTCGAGGTGAGACTAATGGCACGCAGAATGGCTAATATGGTACCACCTATCACATTGGCCAAAACCATTTTCAAAAACGCTCAGCAAGGTAAATCAGATGGTTTCAAAAGTTAGATATATTTAAAAATCTAGTTTTTCAGTTGAGAGAGGCAAATCAGACTTTTGGAATAGCTGAGAAGGTCAGATGGAACATATGCTAAGGAGATGTCAATAGAGCCCCGATCCTGAATACCCCGTGGGAATTCATCTATTAGGGCCCGCCTAAGAGTGGGTGTCCTAAGCACGACGTAGGGTCGTAGTTGCGGTGGGTCATTGTGCGCGTGATCTTGAGGGGCGGTTGGCCTCCCCAGTCACGTCGTGGCATAATGGCACCCGCTCGCAAGTAGCCGTGCGCCATGGAACACGGGCATGTAAATCAAAATGATATGGAAAGAGTGGGGATACACAAGGCTTGGTTCGCGCCGCTGCATGGGCACCTGTTGCTCCACCTTCCCTCCGATCGCTTCACCTGCTGGCGGGGGAGGCATTTGCTTTGAGTCGCCTGCTCCGCCCCTTCCTTGTTCTTGCTCTTGCTCGCTCGTGGTCCCTTCTTCATCAGCCAAAATGTATCACGGCAATCGGCCATGAGAGGAGTCGTCGGAGACCGGTGGGCCACCACCGCTTCTTCGAGCTTGCAAGGGTAAGTATTCATGTTTCAGTTTGAGGTTTGACCTATATTGACCGTGCGTGCTCCCGGGGCTGCCTCCCACACCGCATCCAGAGGGGCCGCCAGCGTCGCTCGTGCCATGACCCTCATCGTCCTCGTCATCGTCTTCCTCAGATGATCGGCGTGAGTTCCGCGAGCTTGTCCGTGGGGCGGATGAGGTCCGCCAGTGCTACTCTGACGCCACCCGCAAGGTGAGCCGACTGAGCGTTGCCATGACGCCGTTAGGGTGGCCTCGAGGCCTCGGAGAGGGAGACGCCTGCACTGACGAGCAACAGCCGCCGACGTCCCGGCTCGCCTCGTGGGTAAGGATGCTTCTTCGTCTTGTCATCCTGTTTGTTGTTTGCCGCTCCTGATCTTCTTATCTTCTTGTTGCCAATGTTGGAGGAGCAGCTGGTGGCCTCCCGCCATGAGACGGAAGAGGCCTGCCTCCGAGAGGTTCTTTTGATGGAGGACCGTGAGCGTGCGGTGGTGGCTAGAGTTTGGTAGGGAGTCGATGTCACCCTCACCGCCATGCAGCCGTGTACCGGCCAGGACTTCCGTCAGGTGGAGCTTGGGTTCCCGGACCACGCCGGGCAGGCGGAGCGAGCGGGCGGAGCTGTTCGGCGACTTTTGCCGCCGTCGTGGTCACTGTTGTCTAATCTTTCTTCTTTCTTGTAGAGCTCGGCGAAGATTTTGATGGATAAGTCACGGTTCTTGCGCTTGGCCTATCAAGCGTAGGTGGGAAGTGCCGCCAACCACGGGCGCCTAGATGCGGCGGAGACTGATGTGCAACGCTTGCACGGGGAGCTAGAGGATTCCTAAAGGATGAAGGAACTGCTTTGTCGGTAGGCGCAGGCTCAGTCCCAGATCGAGGCTCTGATGTCCCAGGTGGCCAGTCTCAAGGATGAGTTGGTTGTCCAAGAGACAGAGCTCACCTCGGTTGGCGCTGGTCGGAACGAAGCCGAGCAGGGATGCCAGCGTCTCAAAGCTGAGTGTCAGAAGCTGCGCTCCACTTGTGGCAGTGAGTCCCCTTCTACTCCACATTGCACTTTTGCCTTGTTGCTATGCCAGCTGGCAGCGCTAACCACTTCCGGGCAGGCCCTCTATGACATCGTGCTCGGCGCCGACCACGAGGGAACACTCAGCTGGTGCTTCGCCTTGATGAGGCCCGCCTCCAAGTGGATCCTCTGATTTTTGAGAGGATCCATGGCGACATTCATGCTGCCTTGACATCGGTTGGTTTGCACTACAACGGCATTGATTTTGATGCTGTTGGGCCCCGAGGAAGTCCAACAACGATATCCTTGCCATTGGCAGTGCCACCGCTCGTGGTGCGAAGGTTCTTGCGGGTAAGATGTTAGCCGCATGCATCCGCCGCCAGTTCCAGACTTCTGGTGTATGATGGTTTTTAGTGTAAATGTTTTGTGTTGTATGGGTGATCTTGTTGTGATGAACATGTTCATGCTTTATATATATGACGTGTGATTGGCGCATTCGTTTGCCATTTTGCCATTTCCCCATCTTCTTCTAGTTCGAGCTAGGAATGTACGCCGTTTCCCTTAGTCTTGTGCGTGTAGGTGCGTATTTTAGCCTGGGGGCTAGCCCACGGGGCTAAAAGATGCGCACCCGACCGCACGACAAGTTCTCGAAGAGAGGTCGCAGATCCGATGTGATGCGAGAAGAAAAGCGAGTAAGGGATGAGCGTTCTGCTTCCTTTTGTTCTCTTTGCCTTGAGTGAGACAATGCCCCATTCCTTTCCAAACTCATGCGTGGGTGCTTCACCTTGCTTTGGGGCTGGTCCACGTGGCTTGGCCAGAGCAACCTTTAGTGCGAACAAGAAGTTGAAGAGCAGGTCATTGATTCGCTGCGGCATGAGATACGATTGGAAAACTCAAAACGGGTCATTGGGATGATGACAAACTATGCTACGCCTCGAGATGCGTCTGGGCATGCCTATATGTGTAGCCCCCATGAGTGAGTTGTGTCCGACTACTGGCGCAAATCGGATCGAGTCACTTGGGAGTCGAGCAACACTTGGATAAAATGTGTGGGTATCATGCTCTTTGGCCTACTCTACAAGCTGACTATAAGTTTCTATGACTATGGGCGAGCTTATACATGTATGTGGATGTGCTTAGGTAGAGAGGCAAGGTCAAGGTTGAAATGACTGACCGATGTACCGGAAGCTGTCGTGAAACTAGCTATCGTTGCTCGGGGCGTGGCAAGCCCCCGAGCGCTTGCTCGTGGTGTAGTTGTTGCGGTCCCTAGGCCATGATCTGGTGAGGGCGCTTCTTTAGCACTTGGAGCGGTCAAAGCCGGCGGGGGTCAACCTCTCGGGCGGGCTTGGGCTGATCCTTTTCGGCTCGTTGTCCTCTCAGTGGGCTCGTGAGCTTCCAAGGGTGACTCCTTCATGTCCGACCAACTGTAGTTTCTGGACGAGATGGCTCATGCCTTCTAGTGCTTGAGCCCTCGTGGCGCGACAACGTTATGGTCGTTGTGTCTCTGCTTCTAGGTGTGGTTGCCACTCTCGATGAAGAGCTGGCGTGACCTATCGCTGCGGAAGTGGGTTCTAAGTGCAATCGCGGTTTGATCCACTCTGGCGCGGCGTGCGGTGTAGGCATTGGGCCGGCTTCCTCGGATACACGTGCCTCTGAGTGACGACTAATAGTTCACTGAGACGCGATGGATGGTTTGTCTACCGTGTAGGACTGGGTCTTGGTCCTAGGCTTGGCCTTGCGAGACGTGGTGTCGGGTAGCCACCTGATCACTAACGACGACGACGCGTGGCGGTGGGTGATTTCGTCATTCATGCGTGCCCTGACACGTTGCACTCCGCTGGTTGTGGAGACGCTGCTCGAGGTGTGGTTCTAATGTCGGACCTAGGCTTCACACACGGTTGCCCTGGACGGGGTAGAAGCTGGTGGTGATGGGTGCTGACCCATTAGTATGGATAACCTTGTGGTTCCCCAAAAGGATGTGGCTAGTTGAGGCCATTCTCTGGGTGAGTTCGTCATGAGCCATAGACCTTCGGCCTTCTGGGTGGAGGACTTGATCATGACTGGTGATGAGAGAGGGTACTGGCCCCCCTACGTAGGTGAACTCCAGGATGCTGCCGCTAGGGGTAGTTCTAAGATTGTGTCCACCGCGGGCCACGGGATCCAGATCTCCGTGGCAGAGGTTTGGGCCATGGCTGTAGGCGAACACAGGTGCTGGCCCTTTAACGCCAGTGAACTCATAGTTTTCACGATGGATGTGGCCACCGTGGGCCATTTCGCCAGCAAGTCCATCAATGGTGCGAGGAGCCATCGCTTCCTGCTCAGCAATCGAGAGTGTGTGACTGCCCCCTACCTAGCGCGCCAACTATCGGTGTTTTATAAACCGGACTAGTACA